GCTGCGTGGAAGAGGTGAAGAGTGAAACCTCCAAAAATGGGGGAGTTTTGGACCCACAGAGAGAGGAGCTGAGAAAACAGATGGGCCTTCACCAGGAAGGGGGCTGCATGAGCAGAGGCCTGGAGAGAAGCTGCCAGGAATGCCAGCAGGTTTGCAGAGGCGAAGGTACTCAGGACATACACTTGGAGAAACGGTAGAGATTTTAATTAAACATTAGCATATTGAAGGCTTCGAGAAGGTCCTTTCTTTAACGGCACATTTACATCTATAGTATGTCCTCAGTGAACATCGTGGCTAGGTTTTGGAATGCTTAATGAAAGCAATATTACCATAGTGAAATGACGTTAAGAAGTAATGGTGTTTGAGAACCTGCTGTATTTAACTGTGTGAAACAGGTGAACAGATGTATATGGGTAGGAGAGACTTCCATCACCCAGACGCAGTGTCAGGAGTGTGGCTCAGCTCTACGTCCAGGAAGAAGGATTGTGGCTGCGAGGCGTCCAGTGGTCTGCCTGCAGGTGCGCTGCTGCGGGGAGCTATCCGCACAACTGCAGGACAGGGTGCCAAGGCCACGGCTCTTTCTTTCCTACCACACTGTCTACTGTTCATCAAAGAAGGAAGTAAAAGGCAATGGTCTTTAAAGATTTTTGCTCTTGTATGCCCTAAAAGTATTTTGAAAGATTATGTACCCCCTTACATATGCTTTAGGTTAACCTATGTTTTTTTCTTCATAAATTTAAATAATTGCAAAGGATAAAACTATATTTTATATGATTGGAAATTTAAGTATAAAACAATACATCACTTTTTAAATTAATCCAGTGGCATACAGATTCCATAGTCTTTTGACACTATCATCTAATTAAAAAAAAAGGACAGGCTTTTATTTAAGAGCAAAAAGTTCCGAGACAGAGTAAGGACTTCAGCACAGGAATGAAAAACACTGGGTGGCCAGGGAGCCAAGGTAAGACTAGGGCGTCAGAAGGAAGTCACATAAGGTGACCTACGAGGGTCGCCGCCCCTGTGCTCCCTACTCAAAAGTGCAGGCAGCTGATTTTACCTCTTCTAACTGCCCTCATTGAAACTACTGACCCACATGCGCGTTTGATCGAAGTCTGACGGTTACTCACCCTTTCTAGGGTGGCAGTAGTGAGGACTGCCGCTTCCCCCGCCACAGCTCAGGCGCAGGCGTGAACATAGTTACCAAGCAACAGCGGCTGGAGAGATGAATGCTAATGTGAAAAATCCACTTCTGAACCCTTCACAAGACCCCCTTGTCACGTTAGCCCACTCTGTCTCCAGCTTATGAAGGCGGCCGAGGCCGGCCTGTCCCTGAGCCAGTTCAGAGGGCTTCGCTTTCCTCCGTGAGCTTGAGCACGAGCTTCATAAGATCCGCCTGGAAATTGCTCTGGGGCTTCCTCTCCATTTCTGTCTTGGGGAACCAAGAACCCAGACACTGCTAAAAATTCTGTACCACATCTTTTTACCTTAAAAACCACATTTTCATCTTTCTTCCATCACGGCATTTTTTTCTTATTGTAACATATCTTCATGTTTGGAGATCTTTTATTGATCAACCATTAAAGGTTTTTGGCAGTAAAAATATGTTTCCGCATTGAAAAATAATTATTTCTTGCAACTCCAAGGTTCCAAGTTATAAAACAAATTTTGTTTGGATTGAATCATCATTATAATTATTATTAGTTCACAATTTATCAAAATAACATGTGTGTATACGCTATACATTTTAATAAATATCAGTCATGGGAGTAAAATGTTTTTGGAACTGCTTCTCTGAATGATAAATATGGGTTGAGGCTGTATTTCTGTAACAGTGGCTCTGCAGATATCAAAACTTTAGATTGTCCTTTTGATTGGTATTGTGGGAATCCTTGCATTGTATGGCTGAAAAGTTTGTCTTTTTTTTTTTTTTTCCCCAGAATGGGTGAAAATGGGGAAAGGAGAATCAGCTTGCTTTCTGATACACCTTGGTCATGTAAAAGAATAAGCATTTGCTCATCGTAGATCTGAAAGTTGTTTCCTCTGAAATGGTTTTGTTTGTGCCCGTCTGTGCCTTGGCAGGTTGTCATGTGGACATAGCCCAGTTTGAAGACCAATGGTGCAGAGAAAAGAGAAATGACCCGATAGCAGGATACGGGGTCATCTTGCTCATGACTGGCATATTCCCCTAAACATATTACTTAACCTCTAGGAGGGTGAAGTTCCTTCCTCCTGTTCCGCAGAACTTCCCTCCCAGCACCGTAGTCGGACTCCCAGGCACCCTTCTGGGGATGGAAGTGATGACATCACCGTGTTTGCATTTATTACTGCATATCTCCATCAAATCATCTTTTCCAAGCAGTTAGATTTTGTAGCGGTCTCATCTCAACAGATCAAACAGATTTATGAAATTACTCTTTGACCTTTGCAACAACTAGAAAGGAACTTAGATGAAGGGAACAGAGCTTTGGGGCATTTCTTTTCTTTTCTTTTTTTTGATCAGATATTTGGTTTCCACAGCTTGCACGACTGATTCTGTGCTCCAATGATTCTCTTATAACCTTAGCATGGAAAGATGGAAAAATTCCCCTGACATTTTCAGGAAACGTTTATTGTAGATGATTTTATATGGCTGGTCAGAATGGGCTAACTGATTTTTCACAAGAGCAGGATCTGGCAGAAGGCCTGGCCTCCTTTGGCCCCCTCTTGCCAAAACTCACTCCAGAGCCGACCTACAGGCCTCTTGATGTCCCATATGAGGTCAGATTGAGAAATGGCTTGGGTGGGGGTAACCTTTTCACTTGCAGTGAGTGGAGGCCCTCTCCATACCCATGTTTCTGGGAAATGCGGGGCAGAGCTCAGTGGCTTTATGTTCCTGGAAAGAACATGACTTCCCTCATATGTGGAAGATTGGGGAAGTCACGGAGGAGCCAGGCCCCACTCCGTTCTGTAAGCTAACATGAAGGTCAACATAGGAAGATGGTTGCACACTCTTCTCTTTCTAATCTCCCCATATTGCTTGGATTCCCTGGCCCAGCCTGGTGCCCAGCCTCAGCATCAGCTACTTCTCCTCAGGTTGGCCACTTCGACTCCATCAGAAGATCCATCCTCACTCTGGCTCGCAGGGCAAAGACTGACAGGAAGTAGGAGGTCCCTAAGCCACAGGAAGGGTTTAAATAGGGTGCCTCAGCATCAGAGTTCAGCTTTAGATTTACTGCTCTGGCTGCAGCTGTGTGGAGGGTGTTCAGTTCTGCCAGAACAACCCAATGACTTTGACATGTGGGCATTGCCCATGCTTTGCAATGAACGCTGACAGTACCCCTGGCTTGTGGCAGAAGGCTGATGCTATCTTTTTTGGAGATGAACAAACCAGGTTGCATTTCTGAAAATAGAGATTTTTTTTTAGAGTGTCTTCACCAAGCCATCTGGGTAGGCCTTGGGCTCTGGACACAGGGAGTCCAGGGTCTGTTCGCCCTCACCTCTGATTACTGTGTGACTTTGGGCAAGTTACTGACCTTATCTCAGCTTCTCCCTTATCTATAAACCTGGGAGAATAATTGTATCTATAACACAGAGAATTTTGTGATGTTTACATTCCTGACCTGTGTAAATATTATGCTATTTTCTTTCCTGAACTAGTGCTGATGAAAGGGTGGGGGGAGGGGAGGCTGTGGGTAGGAGAGCGAGCAAAGAGGAAGAGTGTGTGTGCCGAAGAGAATGGTGTCTCTGAGTTGATGGGCAGAGATGCCACAGTGTTGCCTAAGAATAACCCTGGCCCTCTCTCTGTCCTAGGTCTAGCTCAGACATCTGAACTGCTGGCCTCTAGGCTGGAGGGGTCTAACACTTTTGTTTGGACCGGGGATTAGGTGGATCTGTGTACATAGCTGGTTCCTTGAGGCAGGCGAATTAGTCAGTGTTCTCCAAAGAAACAGAAGCAACAAGGTTGTGAGTGTGTTTTTACTCATTTTAAGAAAATTGGTTCACAGAATTGTGGGGGCTTGGCAAGTCGGAAATCTCCAGGATGGGCTGGTAGGCTGGAGACCCCCAAAAGAATTGGCGCTGGAGTCCAAAGACAGTCCTCTGGCAGAGTCGCTTTCTGCTGGGAGGGACTCAGCCTTTGTTCAACTGATGGGACGGTGGCCACCCACATTATTTAAGGCAATTTGCTTTATTCAGAGTCCACTGATTTCAATGTACATCTCGTCCAAAAATCCACCTATACAAAAGCATCCAGAATAACATTTAACCAAATATCTGGTTACCATAGCCCAGCGGACTTGTCACAGAAAATCAACCATCTGGTAGGCATGTGCCACCAGGGGGTCGTGCCCTGGATTGTCTTATGCCTGGCCCAGGCCACTCAGTCACTCATCTTCCTGATGCTCAGAGGTGTGTGTGTTTGCGATCCTTACTCTAGCAACCTCTTCATGATTATCTTGTTGGAGCCAAATAGCTTTCTGGGCAAAAATGCCCACTCTTTCTATGCTGGTGTTGAGCGTACCTTCCATTATCATGAACTGGCTAGAGGACAAATGTACGCTGTGACAAATGTAGGGTCTTTGACTTGGACAGATGTGCCGTAACTCATATGAGCTCGTGTGTGGGATATGTAGGGATTATAACAGTGCAGGCCAGGTGGTGGAAAGAAAGCTGAACATAGCAGGTCGGCACTGGGAAAACCAACAGCCAGGGATTCGTTGCCTGGAAGCTTTTTTGAGGAAAAATGGAGACATCAATGCAGGCTGAAGGGAAGATAATATCTACAGTGGAAATCACTTTTTCTGAAGACTCTGAAGTAGAAACATTACAAGCAACTCAATGGCTGCCCCAGGGACAGACAACCTGGGGACCCACCCCTCAGTGTCCAATGGACATGTTAAGTTCTTTTTTTAATAGTGAAAAGGCACGATATTGCTGTCGAGTGTCACACATCATGCTTTGACTCACATTTTTTTGGAGCTAATAATCAAAGGGTGCGAGGCCAGCCATGGGGGCACTGCCCACAATGCGAATGTTTCACAAATTTGCACGCCATCCTTGCCCGGGGGCCATGCTAGTGTTCTCCCTATTGTTCCAATTTTAGTGTACGTGTTGCCCAAGCGAGCACCAGATGCGCTAGGTTCTCGTGTGTTTGTGCAGGTGTGTATTTGGACAGGGAGGTTTAATCTGAAAGTGAGGTCCCCCCCTCCCACTCCACCACAGTGGGAGGTTCCAGAAGGTTGGCAGGACTCTAGGAGTCTGGGCAGTAGGGCCTGAGCGGGACAGAGAGCAGCATGAGCCAGGTTGGGAATGGGTCTTCATTCAGAAAGCTCTGGTTCGGGGGAGGATGGAGCAGAGATAAAACACGGACCTAGGGAATGGCTGGAGCAAACCCCAGGAGGCAGAGTTAAGGGTTCTGTGCTTCAGAGGCCATGGGGGGAGCCCAGGCCCGCCCCGGCACAAGTGACCACAGTCAGTGAGACTCACCTCAGACCTGGCCTGTTGTTGCTGCTCAGGCTTCTGTCCTGGTCCTTACAGACTAGAGAACAGGGGACTCAAACCTCGACAGAGGCAGATGTCACCAGTGACTGTGCCAGGCAGTCAACAGGGCCAGCAAGTCTGTGTGTGGGAAAGAGTGTTGATGAGAGTGGCCCCCTTGCTCCCCACGGTGTTTGCCTTGCACGACCTTGGCTGAGACCAGGAATGGAAGGGCGGGTGCTGAGGAGGCAGTGGCTGACTCTTCCAGGAGAGGGCGCTCACAGCTTGTTTGTGCATGCCTGTGGGTGTTCTCTTTCCTTTTTAGTTTTGCTTTAATAAACAACTCATCCTGTAAATGATAATGTTTCAGAATTCATAGAAATATGACTTGTCTTCTAATCGACAAAGCAGATTCATGTGCTTTCCTGATTCCTAGGAGATCACATTTCTGATAGTTAACCTCTTCTTGTTTCTGGGGTGCAGTGGCAGAGGGTTACGATCTCCTTGTCCCCAAAGCCCTGCACCCCATCCCCTCCCCATGGAGCTCACAGTCTGGCTGGAAGTGAAGACCCATCTCCTCCTCTGCCTCAAGGTGGACTCGGAGGTGTAATATGCTGGAGATAAAAACCAGATGGTGTCACTGGGTGAGGGAAGTGGGGGGGGGGGATTCATCGCCTGGAAGCTTTTTTGAGGAAAAATGGAGACATCAATGCAGGCTGAAGGAAAGATAATATCTACAGTGAAAATCACTTTTTCTGAAGACTCTGAAGTAGAAACATTACAAGCAACTCAATGGCCACGATGCTCAGGGCAAACCTTCTCCTAAGAGCTGTCTGAGACAGAGGCTTAGTGTGGGGGTCTGAACTCAAATGGGAGAGGGCGAGAGGAAGGGACAGAACTTTACAAAAGCCACAAAACACCCTCGACTTCTGGACAGAAAAGGGGTTGGGAGAACACGAAAGCAAGGCTTTGGCGAGTAGGAGGAAATGTTCTCCTTTGAAGTTATTTAAGGCAAGAGTTAGCAAGAGGTGAAGGAAAAATGCACAGCTTTGGAATCAATAAATAATTAATCACACACTTGTATTGTACTCTGCTTAGAAAGCAGGGTGCCAGTGTAGGGATTTTTGATATTTCTGTTTAACAGATGAAGATGCAGAGACTTGGCGAAGTTAAGTCAATTACTTAAGATCTCATAAATGGTAAGTGGCCAAATCCTATCAAAAGAATGGGTTCTGGAACATTTCTTGATTTATTTTTAGCAACTTGTGAAACTCTAATCTCTCTTCTGTAAACATGTATTGAGCATCTATGTGTAGATATGAGGTATCTGATGGTTTTGGATACAGTTCCTTCCATCTGGGAGCTCAAAGTGTAGTGAATGGTTCTCAACTGGGGTGATCTTGCCCCCCAGGGGCCATATGGCAACATCTGCAGATGTTTGGGGCTGTCATGACTGGGGGAGATGGGTGTCACTAGCATCCAGGGGGCACAGGTCAGTGATGCTGTCCCATAGCTTTCAATGCATGAGACAGCTCCCCCCACTGCCAACAAAGAGTTATTTGGCCTAAACTGTCAATAGCACCGAGGTTGAGAAACCCTGGTCTAGTACACCATTCATTCATTCATTCAATCACATATTCTACTAACTTTCCGAGTACCTATAGTGGAGCAGGCACTCTGCATTGTGTAGAGGACACAGTGGGGAACAAGACGGAAGAAGCCCTTGTTCTCACGTCAGGTTCTGGGTGAGGAGTGGAGGATGGCAGCGAAGGAGAGTCACACATTAACAAAAAAATATGTTAGTAGCAAGGAACGTATCGGGGGGACTAAGTATTCTGCAGAAAGTTCAGCTGTGTTGGTTTAATGGGGGATAACTTTGGTCGTCTGATCAGGAAAGCCCTTTTAAAGAGGTCATAGTAATGACTAAATTGAATGGCAAGAAGCCATCTGAGGAAAGGGCATATCAAAACAAGAGGAGAGCCAGTGCAAAGGCCCAGAGGTGAGAGTGATGTTGGAATGGAATTTCAAGGGACAGAAGAAAGGCCAGGCTGTTTGGGGTGTGGAGGGAGGGGGAGAGAGTGAAGGAGGTCATGTTAGAGATGGTGATGGGTGCTCTGTCCTATTAGGGCTTTGTTAGCCAAGACAAGCAATGAGGATTTTCTTCTAAAGCTTTACATGAAGCTGTTCTCGTGGTGAAAAAATGACAAGGGTTATGAAGAAAAGGAAATATTGTCTTGGGGACAAAGTGTCTGAGGTGTGTGACATTGAATTTGGTGATCAGAGAGGGTCTCTCTGGGACCTTGATGTGAAGAAGAAAGCAGTCATGAGGAGGCCATAGAACCAGTAATATCCCTGGGGTTATGGGTCAAATTGTGCCCCCTCTAATTTGTATGTTGAAGCCCTAACCCCTGGTACCGAAACATGACTGTTTTTGGAGATGGAACCTCCAAAGGTGATGAAGTTAAAATGAGGCCGGTAAAGTAAAGCTTAATTCAATCTGATCTGTGTCCTTATGAGAAGGAGACATTTGGACAAAGAGACACCGGAGGTGTGTGCACAAGGGAAAGACCATGTGAGGACACAGAGAGAACGTGGCTGTCTGCAAGCCAAGGAGAGAAGCCTCAGGAGAACTCAGTTCTGCTGACACCGTGACTTGGATGATCAGCCTTCAGAACTGTGAGAGATAAATTACATTGTTTAAGCCACACGACCTGTGGTAAGTTGTTACCGCTGTTCCCGCAGACTGATCCACCTGGGGTTCATTTTCTGATCTGTTGAGTAAAGGGCTATTGAGAATTTTTAAAATTTCTTTCCATTTCTAAGGGTCTTTGAGTCTTAGAAATATCTGAGCTCCTGCTCAGGGCTGCCTGAACTCTTGTAGCCTTAGCTTCGTTCCTTCATCCAAGAATGACGGAACAGTTGTGGGGGGGGGAGAGGAGCCCTAGGGAGGGATCTGGAGTTAGACACAGAGTTCCCATCAATTTCAAAGAGCGCCTAGGCTGGGAGAATTGCCCAGTCACGCTTCTCCCACATAAAGGGGATTTGAAACCCCAGAGGGGGGTCCATGGGATCACAATGGCACGTTATGTCACCCTTGGGGACAGGAAGAATTCTGTGCCAGAGTCTCCAGAGGGGAGATGGAACTTCAGGAATTTTCTCCTAGAGACTTGGGGGACTTCCACCAGAGACTACAGAGGACTCTGGGCTCCCCCGGTGCTGGCTGCACGCACCATCCGAGGCACCGTGGGGGCCCACCTTCTGTGTGAAGGAGCCCCTTTTGCTCCTCTTGTCCTTTTTGCCTCCGATAGCGAATGCTGGAGGGTGTGACTGGCTCCAGGGCTCAGGATCTAGGTGGGTGAAGCTTCTTCCAAGGTCATGGGTACCCTGCTCGCAGAAGAAAACTCTGACCTAGCAGGAAGTGCCATTGTCCTCTAAATGGTGGATGCCGTTTGAGCAGTTAGTTTTGTTTTTAATAATTTTTTTATAAGTTGAGATACATCAGAACATATTGAAGGGGAGACTGTACCTTGATACCCAGCCTTTCCTATCTAACCATCTGTCCAAATATTATAATTCAACAAGTATTTATAAGCAATTCACATTGCTTACCTTTTGGGGAAGAAATATGTGGGGAGGAGACATAGACCCTCAACCAGTATTTGACATGCGTGTGAAATGTTTGAATAAAGTGGCTGCCAGGGAGTAGTTGTTCATTAAGTGGGTAACGCATGAAGGAAGGAACAAATGAATAGCTTTGACATTTGATACTTTAGGTTCTGTTTGTTTCTGCTTCTGTGTATGAGTATAAAACCCCAGACAGCACTGAATAATGCTGCATCCCCAGCACCCAGAATAATACCTAGTACGTATAAGCATCCAATGAATACTTAAATGGGTGAGTGAATGGCTTTAGAGAGTAAATGGACCTCTCTGGGGGGGGTCTCATTCCTTTATTCAGCACACGTGTGCTAGTTCTATGTTAGGTTCTGAGGATGCAAAGGCGACCCATCTAAAGTCCTTGTCCTCCAGGAGTGGCTTAATTGTAAGTGAGCATCCAATTCAGTACATTTTGACGATTTCTATGACAGAGGAGAGCACAGCATGAAGAAGCCAGAGCTTTAGCTTAGGAGGAAGTGAGCCCAGTAGGAGGGGGTGAGGAAATTGGATGAGCGAAGGCACAGTGTTCGGATGTTCGAGAAGCCTGGGCTGCAGGGAGTCCGGTATGGTTGGACTGTGGGCACTTTTCTGGGGGAGTGACAGGAGATGGGGTTAAAGAGGCAAGTAGGGCAAGATCATGGGGCGGGGGGTGTTCCGGTCCGCAGGTGTGAACTGTACTTGAATGTAGTGAGGAACCGTTTAGGCCAGGAAGTATCAAGATGAGACATATCTCAGAAAGATCCCTCTGGTGTCGGAGTGGAGAGTGACATATTCTTGGAACAAGAAGTGACAGACCCTTGGGGAAATTACTCCAGTAATCCAGGTAAGAGATGATCTTCCCGGGCAATCAGAGGACACAGATATTTAAGAAGCAGAAAAGAGCCTACTTGGTAACTAATGGATTGTGGGGGTCAAGGGAAGACAGTACAGGGTGTCTCTAAGTATTCTGCATCCAGGTGAATAGGGCACCGGTGACAAAGACAGGGAGGAGGT